AAGATGACCACTCTTCGGATGCTGCTGCACGTTGCCGCTCAGCGTGACTACGAGCTTCACTCTCTTGACTTCAGCACAGCTTTCTTGCAGGGCAGCCTGCACGAGGAGATCTGGCTGCGCCGCCCTCCTGGCTTCACTGGGTCGTTTCCTCCTGGTACCCAGTGGAGCCTCCGGCGGCCGGTCTACGGTCTCCGCCAGGCGCCACGTGAGTGGCACGACACACTGAGGACTACACTTGCGGCTCTTGGGTTCGCGCCTTCTACTGCTGACCCGTCGCTGTTTCTGCGCACCGACACTTCACTGCCGCCGTTCTACATCCTCGTGTACGTCGACGACTTGGTCTTTGCCACTGCTGACACTGAGGCTCTCGCCCACGTGAAGTCGGAGCTGCAGAAGAGACACACGTGCACAGACCTGGGTGAACTGCGCAGCTACCTTGGCTTGCAGATCACCCGGGACAGAGCACGCCGAACCATCACCCTGACTCAGTCACACATGGTGCAGCAGGTTCTTCAGCGCTTCGGCTTCACCTGGTCCTCGGCACAGGCCACTCCTCTGGCTACAGGTCACTCGCTCTCAGCTCCACCTTCGGACGAGTCCGTAGAGCCGAGTGGTCCTTACCCAGAGCTAGTTGGCTGCCTCATGTACCTGATGACTTGCACTCGTCCTGACCTCGCGTACCCTCTTGGTCTTCTGGCTCGCTATGTGGCTCCTGGTCGGCACCGACCTGAGCACATGGCTGCTGCTAAGAGGGTACTGCGCTACTTGTGCAGTACATCAGGCATGGGGCTAGTGCTTGGAGGGAGGAGCTCAGTTGTTCTCACTGGGCACTCAGACGCTTCTTGGGTTGACGACCAGGCTACTCAGCGGTCGTCACAGGGTTACACCTTCAGCCTTGGCTCTGGTTCAGTTTCTTGGCGTTCTACTCGCTCGTCTTCAGTTCTCAGCTCCAGTTGTGAGGCTGAGATCTACGCCACAGCGATGGCTGCACAGGAGTTGCGCTGGCTCACCTACTTGCTGACTGATTGGGAGAGCGGCCTCGTTCTCCTCCAGTGCTGTACGTTGACAACAAGGCTGCCATTGCCTTGTGTGAGGAGCACAGACTGGAGCACAGAACGAAGCACATCGCTCTGCGTTACTTCCAGGCTCGAGAGTTGCAGCAGCGTGGTCAGCTTTGTCTGCGTTACGTGGCCACTCAGGCCAGCACTGCTGATATATTCACCAAGGCACTTCAGTCTGGTGATCATCAGCGTTTCTGCACTATGCTAGGGCTTGTGCCCACCTTCCCTCACTTGCTGTAGGCTTTGCCTGTACTGTGATCTATATATATATATATACCTGCATGCTTGCTTTGCTAGATCGAGATCACTGTGTTGTTTGTGCTGCATATATGCCTCTGCATGTGAACTGGCCTTGTGGCCCTTTGCTTGTGCTCAGAGTGTGTGGTGACGTTGTGATCCACCCTGAGCTTGCTTTGTCTTTCTTGACTGGTCTTGTGACCCCTTGCTCTCCCGCACTTAGCCTATGGGGGTGTGTCAAACATTATATATGTTACTGCTGTGTAGGCTACAGTGGGTTAGCCTTTAGGGGGTACATTACTCTAGGGTTTCCTACTTGTACTCCCAATGTTCCTAGTTCAATCACTTCTTGATTCTAACAATTTCCTAGGCTTGGTGCTTTCCTATATTATATTATAGTTATAGCACCGAGCTAGGTTGCGTGCACCGAATTCTGGGCTTTTCGGTTGCCACTGAATTGCCTTCTACCGAATTCGGGAAGGGTCTGTTCGGGACGCTTCGCGACCCTTAGAACCTTCGCGTAACACCTGGTTACTGGGCCTTGTGTCGAGCCTATATATAGCCTCGTGTTGTACCCAGGTGATTCATTCAACTCACACTCTCTTTTCTGAGCTCGATCCTAGATCCTCACACTCGCAAGCCCACCCCACTGGCGTTGCGAAGCAGCGACCATCGGCGAGTCCCCCCGCTTGCCTGGCTCCCCGTGCCAACCTCCCACCCCTCTTGTCACATTCTGTCGCTCGCTCGCTCACACCCGCTTCTCACCCGACGCTCGCTACATCCACAAGACAAAAATATTATTAATAGGTCGCTGGTGTTTCTCATTCATTCATCAGTCTCGACTGAAGCTGCTTGCTAATCTTCCTAGCTTGTCCTCGAGTTCCTATCGGCTTGTGCTCCCTTCGCTACCAGTGCTCAGGATCTACTTTGCAGCAAAAGTCTAGCCATAACTTCCCAACTCTCCATCCGTCAACGAAATGGCCTGCATCCATGCTGAGAGTGCCTGCGTCGACGTCGAAGCTCTGTTCGCGAGCTTCTGGGAGCAAAATGACTCCCTCGCTCACTTCGTCTGCGACATAATAGCAACTCCACGCCTGGTGACAACCACTTCCTCCTAGCAATTCCCTTCAGTTCTCGCGAGCCCTCGCCTTCTTTACCCGCAACGCATGTTCATATGTGTCATCATCTTTGCTGGTGATGTCACGGCGCTTCTCCTAAGCAGCAACTAATCTATCGATTTTTTTTTTCTTATGCATGTCGTCTCTGGATCAGGCCGTGTGAGCATGCTGCAGTGGAGGTGCAGTCGGTTCCTATTCTTCCTATTGCGGCTCGTCTAGAAGAAGCCGCGTCAACTGATGCAGAGCCGGAAACCGTTGTTGAGGCTGTGACCGGATTCTTCAACTGTGTTCGCAGCCGTTTCAACTGTGGCTGAGGAAGCTGAGGAAGCAGTGGAAGCAGAGGAAACAGAAAAACCGAAGAAGAAAGCTTCTTTGTTCCTGGAGCTGCTTGCTCAAGAGGACTCTACCTCCTCAGTTGACTCTGTTGCTAAGATTGCTGCCTCTTCAGCCAAGGTCGCGGCGTGGTTGGGTGTGAAAACCGGATCAGAGGCACAGCAGAGTGGGAAGGTGAGAGCAGAATTACAGAAGGGTGGGAAGGTGGGAGAAGAGACAAGCAACGGGTGGTGCACCTTGAGTCGCAGTTAGAGCAGCTGCAGCAGCCGCAGTGCGTCTCTCGTCCACCTCTCCTCGGACTCCTGCTCCTCCTCTGCTAGCATCTGCTCCTCCTCCTCTGCTGATAGCCTCTGCAGCACTCCCACAGCTGTCTTGACGGTGGAGGTAGCTGGTGTGAAGAGGGGGATTGGTCGAGGCGTTTCCAGCATTGGGAAGGGATGCTCTCTGTTCACTGCAGATCACTTCGGTTTGAAGCCCACTGGCTTCACTGAGCTCTTGGCAGCTGAGGAAAGCTCAGTGAAAAGAAGGTCCGGTAAGGATTTCTCCAGCTGCAGGAAGGGATGGAGCATGGAGGCGAAGGGGTTGGGGAAGGCGGAGGAGGGACGGGTGATGATGGTGAGGAAGATAAAGAGGAGGAGGAGGAGGATGGCAGTATTAAGCAAAGTTTCAGGGCCTTTGGGACTGGAACAATGTGCTACATGGGTCAACTGTATATGGATGAGGAAGAGCAGGACGAGAGGGACGCATTGGCAGCATTAGGCATCTCAGTCGGCATCGGCAGGTTTGGAGCCAGGCGGAGAATCACAGGCTCTAGCAGCCGAGTCACTCTTAGAAGAATCAGTGGTGCACTGAGGCAATACTATATTGTGTGGTTAGATTCTGTAGAAGCAGCTGTGGCTGGGCCAGAGTAACTAGACTGCCACAGGCATGCCTCTAGAACCTGGTCTTGTACATGATTTATATACATTCCGTTCCTTAAAATACTTATGCTGGTCAGTCATTCAGCACCCTTAATCAAATGAACTACTCTGGATGACAAAAACACTTACCGAAACGTGCTGAAGCAAACTCGTAATCACACATCCTCCCCTCCAACTATTTTTCGCGCAGATTCCTATTGTCATACCCCGGATATACCCCCATGGGAGGGGTCTAATAAAACATGCCTTTTAGGGGGGTGGGCTTATAATCGAGTAAATCTATAAGCGCAGGCGCTTATAAAATGACATATATATATTTAGTATTTTCCAAAACCAAACTGTAGATCTCGTGCTTGCCTTTTCAATCGAGTCGAAGTTACATGGGGTCTTTCGTGAAATTCTCGCGCGCGCTGGGAGATACACTCAATCTGACTCACAAGGGGCCCCTGACAGCTCTTGCTGACTGGACTCGCATCCAGTGCAGGGTTCGAAAGTGAAGCAAACCGAATTTGCAGCACATCCGCCTTCTAAAGTAAAAATCGTTACAGTGTGTTGAACCAATTTCAAAATTTTTAGTTTACATGCACTTATAATAAAACATGTTTTTTCAGGGGGTGCGCTTATAATCGAGGAGCGGATATAAGCGCCATATGCCAATTACAAGTGCCTGGCGCTTATCCCAGGGTGGCGCTTATATCCGGGGGGTGACGGTACCGTCATCGCCCGGATAGTAGACATATATGTCTTATTTCGTTCACTACTCAAAATGCTTGGGTTATGTTGTATTTGGGATGGTTTAGGGTGTCTTATAAGTCTTATAATTGGACAAAGAACCGTTTAGAAGACACCCCCTCGTTATACAATTGCCCCTAACCCCTACACACCCTTAACTCGTACACACAAATAGGTGTCTTATAATGAAGCTAGCCTGTTTATAAGAGACACCCGGATACTAGGCAACCCATGTCTACTATTCAACACTGTCTACTATCCAGGTGATGACGGTATTGCATTCACAGTCACAGTCGCAGGTCTCACCCGTTTTCCTCCGGACCAGACTTTTACCTGTACTTGAGAAGCGTGTTTAGTTCACAGCATTGTTTCTTCCTTCGAAAGACGGCACGCTCTCTGTTTACAATAGTTCGGATTTTTTTTTTTTTTTTTTTTTTTTTTTTTTTTTTGAAAATTCTGAGATGGACTAGTACCTTTTGTTTCAAAGCTTCCAGAAAACAGACGCACATGCTACGGCATGGTTTTAAACCACAAACATCATGCTGATAATGTCACACCATCCCCCATCATGTTACACCCGCGTGAAGGGCGAGAGGGTGTCAGGGGCGAGGTGGCTTGGCACGTGGAGGACCCATGGGCGTGCGGGAAGAGCCGGGCGCAGAGGCCGGTGGGGCCTTGGTGATGCCCAGATACTGCTCCACCTGGTGGGGGGGACGGTGGGGTTGGGGGGGGGGAAGGGGGAGGGGGAATATAGGGGACGTGACAAGGGGGAAGAGGAGTAGGGGGGACAAAGCAGTGGAGCAGAACAGCAAGAGGCGCCCATTCTCTGTGTGGAGCAGGCTCATTAGAGTCCCCCACAAAAGCAGCTGCTAGCTCCTATTGCAATCCTTCGCACCGCCCCCCTGCTCCACCTTGTTCCCTCTCGCCTCATTGAGCCCCTTGGCAGGAGGCAAGGTCGCTTGTGTCCCGTGCCCTCAACCCTTTCCAGCGCCATGCAAATCACCTCGCTTCACCACCTATCACCATCCCTTACAAGCAATGACCGCCATTCACCTTGCCCCATCGTGCCTCACCTTGCCCCATCTTGCCTCACCTTGCCCCATCTTGCCTCACCTTGCCCCATCTTGCCTCACCTTGCCCCATCTTGCCTCACCTTGCCCCATCTTGCCTCACCTTGCCCCATCTTGCCCCACCTTGCCCCATCTTGCCCCACCTTGCCCCATCTTGCCTCACCTTGCCCCATCTTGCCTCACCTTGCCCCATCTTGCCCCACCTTGCCCCATCTTGCCTCACCTTGCCCCATCTTGCCTCACCTTGCCCCATCTTGCCTCACCTTGCCCCATCTTGCCTCACCTTGCCCCATCTTGCCTCACCTTGCCCCATCTTGCCTCACCTTGCCCCACCTTGCCCCACCTTGCCCCACGGTGCCCCACGGTGCCGCGCACAGGGACCCACCTTGGCGTGGCCCAGCATGGGCGTGAGGCTGCCCACCACCTCCCTCTCCCTCTCCATCGTCGCAAACGAGTTGGCCGGGTCCGAGATCTGCCTGCTCCCCCAACACCACACCACATGGGTGAGGAGGCACATGTGCACACATGTGGGGGTATTGGAAGGCACGCAGTGAGGGGATGGAAGGCACTGGGTGGGAAACGATGAAATGCAGGGGGTAGAAGGTTGCCTATGAGGGAAGAAAAGGAGGGCACACAAGGGCGGAACGGACACAGAAATACACACCCATGAAAACATATGCGACAGTTAGAGCTTCCATTCGCTCTTTCCACCCCTCACTCCCTTCCCCCTCCCCTGCACATGAGCCCGCACTCTCAACCTCAACGCCTGTGCAGTGCACCCTCAATCCCCCCAGCGCACTCACTCCAGCTTCACACGCCCGGCGATGACGACAAAAGGCGACTGGGTGTGCTCCTGCACCTCCACACAGCTCTGCAAGGTGTAGGAGAGAGCCCTCCCCCTCCTCCCCCCATCATGCACATGATTCCTCACACTCTCATCCTCCCCCCATCACACCCAACATCCCCTTCACGCCCCCAAACAACCCCTCAAGTTCTCACCGCCTCAACGATCAACCTGAACCTTTCACTCACCCCGGCTTCACATGTCCCGTGATCACCACGTAGGGCGACTGGGCCTGCACCTGCACCTCCTTAAGTCGATGCCATGAGATCAGAGCCTTAGGGCGTGTCTCTTTTTTGATTTTTGGCAATTTTCCGGACGGTTCACTTTTTTGGTACCGGACGGTCCGAATAGCGAGAACCAGACTGTCCGAGTTGCCATTCGGAACTTTGCCCCGTCCGAGTGCAAGACTGTCACTTTTTTCAGTGTTTTGAATTTCCCGAAGTACTGTAGTCTCGCTAGAGACACTGTAGCGTCGTTACACAATTCACGAAAGCTTTTCAGCGAATTTTGTCAGCCAATCTTATTTTCATATTTTCCAAAAAAGTGGCGCGCCAATCTCTAGTTAGTACTGTTGCACCGTCCGTTTGGTTTCTGAACTGTCAAGGGTTCAGATTCTGAACCGTTGAAAGTAGTAAAAAGTGACGCGACGGTTCGGATTGTTGGCGACGTCGCACACACTTTCGCGAAATATGTCACGAAACCTTGCGACGCTGGTAACCTTTTCGCAGCTCGGACCGTCCACGGTTCGAACCGTCGGGGTCAAAATGGAGACACGCCCTTACCCCTTCTGGTGAAAGGACCCATGTCAAGCTGCTGCATTTCAACACATACTTGAGCCGTTCACTCACCCCGGCTTGACATGCCCAGTGATGACCACGTAGGGCGACTGCGTCTGAGCCTGCACCTCTCTCAGCCGCTCCACGGAGTGCATGGGCGTGTCGCCCGCCGCCATGCCCTTGCGCTTCAGGTCCTCCTCATAAGCGCGCATGCGCTTCTCCTGCTTCATCTTGCCCGGCCCCTTCCCGTGGAACGCGTGTGACAGCTTGCGAAACGCCTCCTTGGGCGTCATCTGCGGGGCAGTGGAGGGGGGTGGCACGACAGCGATGAGCAACTCCCATCGTTTGTTTAACAGTTGAAGGTTCAGTCTGAAACGCAGGAGACAGCCTGTGAAATGCCTCCTTGGGCGTCATCTGCAGGCCACGCAGGCGCTGTGCCAGGAGGGCAAGGGGAAACACCACTGCAATAATTGCCGACTCAAAAGTCACCTGCTTTGCCTCTTGCTGTGGAGGTGCGGCACCCTCACCACGCACAAGACCTCCTGCTTTCATGGTTGACAGTCGTGTGTGGCGGGACGAGTAACACAATAACCCAGGTCACGGCCCATCAACCCGCAGTACATGCCGGCCTGTTCCCTGCTGCACCGCACGCCTCCACACCCTGCAGCAACCCACCACCACCCTTCTCCGGCAGCTCACCACGCGGCCGAACTCGTCGATGCGGTCGATGCGCACTTCCTTGAACGCGTGGGGGCGGTCATGGCCCTTGTCATCCAGCACGCCCACCAACTTGCTGCGCTTCTTGTCCATCGTGCGCCCGCCCCACTCCACCTCGCCCTTCAGCGCCCCGCGGTCCTTCAGCAGCGCCAGCGCCGCCGCCAGCCCCGTCCCCACCGGCGCCTCCGATATCGCATCCACCCCCGCCTCCCCCTCACCCGCCCCCGCCTCTTCCCCCTTCTCCGCTCCCTCGCCTGCCCCTTTGCCCTCGCCTCCAACCTCCGCGCCCTCCTCTGCATCGCCCATCTCCTCGTCGCCCTGCCCGTCCCGCTTCACCTCCATCCACCCGCCCCCGTCTGCACTCCCGGCGCCAGCAGCAGCAGCAGAGGAGGAGGAGGGAGGGACAGGGAGGGCAGCAGCGGCGGCAGCCAGTTCCTCCTTGGCGGCGGCAGCAGCTTCCCTTGCATTCACTCGCTTCACCAACGCTGCAGGGAGCAGGCAAAGAGAGGAGAGAGGAGACGAGCAAGCAGGTGGGTGCGCAGAGAACACGCAGCAAGCGGCACACAGCGCACTGCCTCCTTGCTGTTGTGCTGCTGTGGTGGCTAGATTCAATGCCCCTGCACGCATCCACTCCTCTCATGCCCCGCGCCCATACACCCATGCTTGCCTGGCAGCGCAGCGGAGAGGGGAAACCGGCCAGCAAGAGGGGGATAGCAAAGAGAGCTGGGTACGTGACGAGAAATGGACAACAGAATCTAACAAAAACAACACGCTTTATAGGTGCCACTCAACCACAATCGTCCTGCTCACCATCATCCTGCCATCTCACCATCATCCTGCCATCTCACCATCATCCTGCAATCTCACCATCATCCTGCCACCTCACCATCATCCTGCCACCTCACCATCATCCTGCCACCTCACCATCATCCTGCCACCTCACCATCATCCTGCCATCTCACCATCATCCTGCCATCTCACCATCATCATGCCATCTCACCATCATCCTGCCAGCTCACCATCATCCTGCCAGCTCACCATCATCCTGCCACCTCACCATCATCCTGCCACCTCACCATCATCCTGCCAGCTCACCATCATCCTGCCATCTCACCATCATCCTGCCATCTCACCATCATCCTGCCACTCACCATCATCCTGCCAGCTCACCATCATCCTGCCAGCTCACCATCATCCTGCCACCTCACCATCATCCTGCCATCTCACCATCATCCTGCCATCTCACCATCATCCTGCCATCTCACCATCATCCTGCCACCTCACCATCATCCTGCCACCTCACCATCATCCTGCCATCTCACCATCATCCTGCCATCTCACCATCATCCTGCCATCTCACCATCATCCTGCCACCTCACCATCATCCTGCCACCTCACCATCATCCTGCCACCTCACCATCATCCTGCCACCTCACCATCATCCTGCCACCTCACCATCATCCTGCCACCTCACCATCATCCTGCCACCTCACCATCATCCTGCCACCTCACCATCATCCTGCCATCTCACCATCATCCTGCCATCTCACCATCATCCTGCAATCTCACCATCATCCTGCCACCTCACCATCATCCTGCCACCTCACCATCATCCTGCCACCTCACCATCATCCTGCCACCTCACCATCATCCTGCCATCTCACCATCATCCTGCCATCTCACCATCATCATGCCATCTCACCATCATCCTGCCAGCTCACCATCATCCTGCCACCTCACCATCATCCTGCCACCTCACCATCTTCCTGCCAGCTCACCATCATCCTGCCATCTCACCATCATCCTGCCACCTCACCATCATCCTGCCACTCACCATCATCCTGCCAGCTCACCATCATCCTGCCACCTCACCATCATCCTGCCATCTCACCATCATCCTGCCATCTCACCATCATCCTGCCATCTCACCATCATCCTGCCACCTCACCATCATCCTGCCACCTCACCATCATCCTGCCACCTCACCATCATCCTGCCACCTCACCATCATCCTGCCACCTCACCATCATCCTGCCATCTCACCATCATCCTGCAATCTCACCATCATCCTGCCACCTCACCATCATCCTGCCACCTCACCATCATCCTGCCACCTCACCATCATCCTGCCACCTCACCATCATCCTACCATCTCACCATCATTCTGCCATCTCACCATCATCATGCCATCTCACCATCATCCTGCCAGCTCACCATCATCCTGCCACCTCACCATCATCCTGCCACCTCACCATCATCCTGCCACCTCACCATCATCCTGCCAGCTCACCATCATCCTGCCATCTCACCATCATCCTGCCACCTCACCATCATCCTGCCACTCACCATCATCCTGCCAGCTCACCATCATCCTGCCATCTCACCATCATCCTGCCATCTCACCATCATCCTGCCATCTCACCATCATCCTGCCATCTCACCATCATCCTGCCACCTCACCATCATCCTGCCACCTCACCATCATCCTGCCACCTCACCATCATCCTGCCATCTCACCATCATCCTGCCATCTCACCATCATCCTGCCATCTCACCATCATCCTGCCATCTCACCATCATCCTGCCATCTCACCATCATCCTGCCACCTCACCATCATCCTGCCATCTCACCATCATCCTGCCATCTCACCATCATCCTGCCATCTCAACATCATCCTGCCACCTCACCATCATCCTGCCACCTCACCATCATCCTGCCATCTCACCATCATCCTGCCACCTCACCATCATCCTGCCATCTCACCATCATCCTGCCAGCTCACCATCATCCTGCCACCTCACCATCATCCTGCCACCTCACCATCATCCTGCCATCTCACCATCATCCTGCCATCTCACCATCATCCTGCCATCTCACCATCATCCTGCCAGCTCACCATCATCCTGCCATCTCACCATCATCCTGCCATCTCACCATCATCCTGCCACCTCACCATCATCCTGCCACCTCACCATCATCCTGCCATCTCACCATCATCCTGCCATCTCACCATCATCCTGCCATCTCACCATCATCCTGCCAGCTCACCATCATCCTGCCATCTCACCATCATCTTGCCATCTCACCATCATCCTGCCACCTCACCATCATCCTGCCATCTCACCATCATCCTGCCAGCTCACCATCATCCTGCCATTTCACCATCATCCTGCCATCTCACCATCATCCTGCCAGCTCACCATCATCATGCGACCTCACCATCATCCTGCCATCTCACCATCATCCTGCCACCTCACCATCATCCTGCCACCCCACCATCATCCTGCCACCTCACCATCATCCTGCCACCTCACAATCATCCAGCCATCTCACCATCATCCTGCCACCTCACCATCATCCTGCCACCTCACCATCATCCTGCCATCTCACCATCATCCTGCCACCTCACCATCATCCTGCCACCTCACCATCATCCTGCCACCTCACCATCATCCTGCCACCTCACCATCATCCTGCCATCTCACCATCATCCTGCCACCTCACCATCATCCTGCCACCTCACCATCATCCTGCCATCTCACCATCATCCTGCCATCTAAACATCATCCTGCCACCTCACCATCATCCTGCCATCTCATCATCATCCTGCCAGCTCACCATCATCCTGCCATCTCACCATCATCCTGCCAGCTCACCATCATCCTGCCATCTCACCATCATCCTGCCAGCTCACCATCATCCTGCCATCTCACCATCATCCTGCCATCTCACCATCATCCTGCCAGCTCACCATCATCCTGCCAGCTCACCATCATCCTGCCAGCTCACCATCATCCTGCCACCTCACCATCATCCTGCCACCTCACCATCATCCTGCCACCTCACATCATCCTGCCACCTCACCATCATCCTGCCACCTCACCATCATCCTACCACCTCACCATCATCCTGCCACCTCACCATCATCCTGCCATCTCACCATCATCCTGCCATCTCACCATCATCCTGCCATCTCACCATCATCCTGCCACCTCACCATCATCCTGCCACCTCACCATCATCCTGCCATCTCACCATCATCCTGCCATCTCACCATCATCCTGCCATCTCACCATCATCCTGCCACCTCACCATCATCCTGCCACCTCACCATCATCCTGCCACCTCACCATCATCCTGCCATCTCACCATCATCCTGCCACCTCACCATCATCCTGCCACCTCACCATCATCCTGCCATCTCACCATCATCCTGCCATCTCACCATCATCCTGCCACCTCACCATCATCCTGCCACCTCACCATCATCCTGCCACCTCACCATCATCCTGCCATCTCACCATCATCCTGCCATCTCACCATCATCCTGCCATCTCACCATCATCCTGCCATCTCACCATCATCCTGCCATCTCACCATCATCCTGCCAGCTCACCATCATCCTGCCATCTCACCATCATCCTGCCACCTCACCATCATCCTGCCACCTCACCATCATCCTGCCATCTCACCATCATCCTGCCATCTCACCATCATCCTGCCATCTCACCATCATCCTGCCACCTCACCATCATCCTGCCACCTCACCATCATCCTGCCATCTCACCATCATCCTGCCACCTCACCATCATCCTGCCACCTCACCATCATCCTGCCACCTCACCATCATCCTGCCATCTCACCATCATCCTGCCATCTCACCATCATCCTGCCATCTCACCATCATCCTGCCAGCTCACCATCATCCTGCCATCTCACCATCATCCTGCCATCTCACCATCATCCTGCCACCTCACCATCATCCTGCCATCTCACCATCATCCTGCCAGCTCACCATCATCCTGCCATTTCACCATCATCCTGCCATCTCACCATCATCCTGCCAGCTCACCATCATCATCCCACCTCACCATCATCCTGCCATCTCACCATCATCCTGCCACCTCACCATCATCCTGCCACCCCACCATCATCCTGCCACCTCACCATCATCCTGCCACCTCACCATCATCCTGCCATCTCACCATCATCCTGCCACCTCACCATCATCCTGCCACCTCACCATCATCCTGCCATCTCACCATCATCCTGCCACCTCACCATCATCCTGCCACCTCACCATCATCCTGCCACCTCACCATCATCCTGCCACCTCACCATCATCCTGCCATCTCACCATCATCCTGCCACCTCACCATCATCCTGCCACCTCACCATCATCCTGCCATCTCACATCATCCTGCCACCTCACCATCATCCTGCCACCTCACCATCATCCTGCCATCTCACCATCATCCTGCCATCTCACCATCATCCTGCCACCTCACCATCATCCTGCCATCTCACCATCATCTTGCCAGCTCACCATCATCCTGCCATCTCACCGTCATCCTGCCAGCTCACCATCATCCTGCCATCTCACCATCATCCTGCCAGCTCACCATCATCCTGCCATCTCACCATCATCCTGCCATCTCACCATCATCCTGCCAGCTCACCATCATCCTGCCACCTCACCATCATCCTGCCATCTCACCATCATCTTGCCATCTCACCATCATCCTGCCACCTCACCATCATCCTGCCACCTCACCATCATCCTGCCACCTCACCATCATCCTGCCACCTCACCATCATCCTGCCATCTCACCATCATCCTGCCAGCTCACCATCATCATGCCACCTCACCATCATCCTGCCATCTCACCATCATCCTGCCACCTCACCATCATCCTGCCACCCCACCATCATCCTGCCACCTCACCATCATCCTGCCACCTCACCATCATCCTGCCACCTCACCATCATCCTGCCATCTCACCATCATCCTGCCACCTCACCATCATCCTGCCACCTCACCATCATCCTGCCACCTCACCATCATCCTGCCACCTCACCATCATCCTGCCATCTCACCATCATCCTGCCACCTCACCATCATCCTGCCATCTCACCATCATCCTGCCATCTCACATCATCCTGCCACCTCACCATCATCCTGCCACCTCACCATCATCCTGCCATCTCACCATCATCCTGCCATCTAAACATCATCCTGCCACCTCACCATCATCCTGCCATCTCATCATCATCCTGCCAGCTCACCATCATCCTGCCATCTCACCATCATCCTGCCGCTCACCATCATCCTGCCATCTCACCATCATCCTGCCAGCTCACCATCATCCTGCCATCTCACCATCATCCTGCCATCTCACCATCATCCTGCCAGCTCACCATCATCATGCCATCTAAACATCATCCTGCCACCTCACCATCATCCTGCCATCTCATCATCATCCTGCCACCTCACCATCATCCTGCCACCTCACCATCATCCTGCCACCTCACCATCATCCTGCCATCTCACCATCATCCTGCCACCTCACCATCATCCTGCCATCTCACCATCATCCTGCCATCTCACATCATCCTGCCACCTCACCATCATCCTGCCATCTCACCATCATCCTGCCATCTAAACATCATCCTGCCACCTCACCATCATCCTGCCATCTCATCATCATCCTGCCAGCTCACCATCATCCTGCCATCTCACCATCATCCTGCCAGCTCACCATCATCCTGCCATCTCACCATCATCCTGCCAGCTCACCATCATCCTGCCATCTCACCATCATCCTGCCATCTCACCATCATCCTGCCAGCTCACCATCATCCTGCCACCTCACCATCATCGTGCCATCTCACCATCATCCTGCCACCTACCCATCATCCTGCCACCTCACCATCATCCTGCCACCTCACCATCATCCTGCCACCTCACCATCATCCTGCCATCTCACCATCATCCTGCCACCTCACCATCATCCTGCCACCTCACCATCATCCTGCCACCTCACCATCATCCTGCCACCTCACCATCATCCTGCCACCTCACCATCATCCTGCCACCTCACCATCATCCTGCCACCTCACCATCATCCTGCCATCTCACCATCATCCTGCCACCTCACCATCATCCTGCCACCTCACCATCATCCTGCCATCTCACCATCATCCTGCCACCTCACCATCATCCTGCCACCTCACCATCATCCTGCCACCTCACCATCATCCTGCCACCTCACCATCATCCTGCCACCTCATTATCATCCTGCCACCTCACCATCATCCTGCCACCTCACCATCATCCTGCCACCTCACCATCATCCTGCCATCTCACCATCATCCTGCCACCTCACCATCATCCTGCCACCTCACCATCATCCTGCCACCTCACCATCATCCTGCCATCTCACCATCATCCTGCCACCTCACCATCATCCTGCCACCTCACCATCATCCTGCCATCTCACCATCATCCTGCCACCTCACCATCATCCTGCCACCTCACCATCATCCTGCCATCTCACCATCATCCTGCCATCTCACCATCATCCTGCCATCTCACCATCATCCTGCCATCTCACCATCATCCTGCCATCTCACCATCATCCTGCCATCTCACCATCATCCTGCCAGCTCACCATCATCCTGCCATCTCACCATCATCCTGCCACCTCACCATCATCCTGCCAGCTCACCATCATCCTGCCACCTCACCATCATCCTGCCACCTCACCATCATCCTGCCACCTCACCATCATCCTGCCATCTCACCATCATCCTGCCATCTCACCATCATCCTGCCATCTCACCATCATCCTGCCATCTCACCATCATCCTGCCATCTCACCATCATCCTGCCACCTCACCATCATCCTGCCATCTCACCATCATCCTGCCATCTCACCATCATCCTGCCATCTCACCATCATCCTGCCAGCTCACCATCATCCTGCCACCTCACCATCATCCTGCCACCTCACCATCATCCTGCCACCTCACCATCATCCTGCCATCTCACCATCATCCTGCCAGCTCACCATCATCCTGCCACCTCACCATCATCCTGCCACCTCACCATCATCCTGCCATCTCACCATCATCCTGCCATCTCACCATCATCCTGCCACCTCACCATCATCTTGCCATCTCATCATCATCCTGCCATCTCACCATCATCCTGCCACCTCACCATCATCCTGCCATCTCACCATCATCCTGCCATCTCACCATCATCCTGCCACCTCACCATCATCCTGCCACCTCACCATCATCCTGCCAGCTCACCATCATCCTGCCATCTCACCATCATCCTGCCAGCTCACCATCATCCTGCCATCTCACCATCATCCTGCCAGCTCACCATCATCCTGCCAGCTCACCATCATCCTGCCATCTCACCATCATCCTGCCAGCTCACCATCATCCTGCCATCTCACCATCATCCTGCCATCTCACCATCATCCTGCCATCTCACCATCATCCTGCCATCTCACCATCATCCTGCCATCTCACCATCATCCTGCCATCTCACCATCATCCTGCCATCTCACCATCATCCTGCTATCTCACCATCATCCTGCCAGCTCACCATCATCCTGCCATCTCACCATCATCCTGCCACCTCACCATCATCCTGCCACCTCACCATCATCCTGCCACCTCACCATCATCCTGCCATCTCACCATCATCCTGCCATCTCACCATCATCCTGCCAGCTCACCATCATCCTGCCATCTCACCATCATCCTGCCATCTCACCATCATCCTGCCAGCTCACCATCATCCTGCCATCTCACCATCATCCTGCCACCTCACCATCATCCTGCCAGCTCACCATCATCCTGCCAGCTCACCATCATCCTGCCACCTCACCATCATCCTGCCACCTCACCATCATCCTGCCACCTCACATCATCCTGCCACCTCACCATCATCTTGCCACCTCACCATCATCCTGCCACCTCACCATCATCCTGCCACCTCACCATCATCCTGCCATCTCACCATCATCCTGCCATCTCACCATCATCCTGCCACCTCACCATCATCCTGCCATCTCACCATCATCCTGCCACCTCACCATCATCCTGCCACCTCACCATCATCCTGCCACCTCACCATCATCCTGCCATCTCACCATCATCCTGCCATCTCACCATCATCCTGCCATCTCACCATCATCCTGCCATCTCACCATCATCCTGCCATCTCACCATCATCCTGCCATCTCACTATCATCCTGCCACCTCACCATCATCCTGCCAGCTCACCATCATCCTGCCATCTCACCATCATCCTGCCATCTCACCATCATCCTGCCATCTCACCATCATCCTGCCATCTCACCATCATCCTGCCAGCTCACCATCATCCTGCCACCTCACCATCATCCTGCCATCTCACCATCATCCTGCCATCTCACCATCATCCTGCCATCTCACCATCATCCTGCCAGCTCACCATCATCCTGCCATCTCACCATCATCCTGCCATCTCACCATCATCCTGCCACCTCACCATCATCCTGTCATCTCACCATCATCCTGCCAGCTCACCATCATCCTGCCATTTCACCATCATCCTGCCAGCTCACCATCATCCTGCCAGCTCACCATCATCCTGCCACCTCACCATCATCCTGCCACCTCACCATCATCCTGCCACCCCACCATCATCCTGCCACCTCACCATCATCCTGCCACCTCACCATCATCCTGCCATCTCACCATCATCCTGCCATCTCACCATCATCCTGCCACCTCACCATCATCCTGCCATCTCACCATCATCCTGCCACCTCACCATCATCCTGCCACCTCACCATCATCCTGCCACCTCACCATCATCCTGCCACCTCACCATCATCCTGCCACCTCACCATCATCCTGCCACCTCACCATCATCCTGCCATCTCACCATCATCCTGCCACCTCACCATCATCCTGCCACCTCACCATCATCCTGCCACCTCACCATCATCCTGCCACCTCACCATCATCCTGCCACCTCACCATCATCCTGCCACCTCACCATCATCCTGCCAGCTCACCATCATCCTGCCACCTCACCATCATCCTGCCAGCTCACCATCATCCTGCCACCTCACCATCATCCTGCCAGCTCACCATCCTGCCAGCTCACCATCATCCTGCCAGCTCACCATCATCCTGCCATCTCACCATCATCCTGCCAGCTCACCATCATCATGCCACCTCACCATCATCCTGCCACCTCACCATCATCCTGCCATCTCACCATCATCCTGCCATCTCACCATCATCCTGCCATCTCACCATCATCCTGCCACCTCACCATCATCCTGCCACCTCACCATCATCCTGCCACCTCACCATCATCCTGCCACCTCACCATCATCCTGCCATCTCACCATCATCCTGCCACCTCACCATCATCCTGCCACCTCACCATCATCCTGCCACCTCACCATCATCCTGCCACCTCACCATCATCCTGCCATCTCACCATCATCCTGCCACCTCACCATCATCCTGCCACCTCACCATCATCCTGCCACCTCACCATCATCCTGCCACCTCACCATCATCCTGCCACCTCACCATCATCCTGCCACCTCACCATCATCCTGCCATCTCACCATCATCCTGCCACCTCACCATCATCCTGCCATCTCACCATCATCCTGCCACCTCACCATCATCCTGCCATGTGACCATCATCCTGCCATCTCACCATCATCCTGCCATCTCACCATCATCCTGCCACCTCACCATCATCCTGCCACCTCACCATCATCCTGCCATCTCACCATCATCCTGCCATCTCACCATCATCCTGCCAGCTCACCATCATCCTGCCACCTCACCATCATCCTGCCACCTCACCATCATCCTGCCACCTCACCATCATCCTGCCACCTCACCATCATCCTGCCACCTCACCATCATCCTGCCATCTCACCATCATCCTGCCATCTCACCATCATCCTGCCATCTCACCATCATCCTGCCATCTCACCATCATCCTGCCATCTCACCATCATCCTGCCAGCTCACCATCATCCTGCCATCTCACCATCATCCTGCCATCTCACCATCATCCTGCCATCTCACCATCATCATGCCACCTCACCATCATCATGCCACCTCACCATCATCCTACCACCTCACCATCATCCTGCCACCTCACCATCATCCTGCCATCTCACCATCATCCTGCCATCTCACCATCATCCTGCCACCTCACCATCATCCTGCCACCTCACCATCATCCTGCCACCTCACCATCATCCTGCCACCTCACCATCATCCTGCCATCTCACCATCATCCTGCCATCTCACCATCATCCTGCCATCTCACCATCATCCTGCCATCTCACCATCATCCTGCCATCTCACCATCATCCTGCCATCTCACCATCATCCTGCCATCTCACCATCATCCTGCCAGCTCACCATCATCCTGCCAGCTCACCATCATCCTGCCATCTCACCATCATCCTGCCATCTCACCATCATCCTGCCATCTCACCATCATCCTGCCATCTCACCATCATCCTGCCAGCTCACCATCATCCTGCCACCTCACCATCATCCTGCCATCTCACCATCATCCTGCCATCTCACCATCATCCTGCCATCTCACCATCATCCTGCCAGCTCACCATCATCCTGCCATCTCACCATCATCCTGCCATCTCACCATCATCCTGCCACCTCACCATCATCCTGTCATCTCACCATCATCCTGCCAGCTCACCATCATCCTGCCATCTCACCATCATCCTGCCATCTCACCATCATCCTGCCAGCTCACCATCATCCTGCCACCTCACCATCATCCTGCCACCTCACCATCATCCTGCCACCCCACCATCATCCTGCCACCTCACATCATCCTGCCACCTCACCATCATCCTGCCACCTCACCATCATCCTGCCATCTCACCATCATCCTGCCATCTCACCATCATCCTGCCATCTCACCATCATCCTGCCACCTTACCATCATCCTGCCACCTCACCATCATCCTGCCATCTCACCATCATCCTGCCACCTCACCATCATCCTGCCAGCTCACCATCATCCTGCCAGCTCACCATCCTGCCAGCTCACCATCATCCTGCCAGCTCACCATCATCCTGCCATCTCACCATCATCCTGCCAGCTCACCATCATCATGCCACCTCACCATCATCCTGCCACCTCACCATCATCCTGCCATCTCACCATCATCCTGCCATCTCACCATCATCCTGCCATCTCACCATCATCCTGCCACCTCACCATCATCCTGCCACCTCACCATCATCCTGCCACCTCACCATCATCCTGCCACCTCACCATCATCCTGCCACCTCACCATCATCCTGCCACCTCACCATCATCCTGCCACCTCACCATCATCCTGCCACCTCACCATCATCCTGCCACCTCACCATCATCCTGCCACCTCACCATCATCCTACCACCTCACCATCATCCTGCCACCTCACCATCATCCTGCCACCTCACCATCATCCTGCCACCTCACCATCATCCTGCCACCTCACCATCATCCTGCCACCTCACCATCATCCTGCCACCTCACCATCATCCTGCCATCTCACCATCATCCTGCCACCTCACCATCATCCTGCCATCTCACCATCATCCTGCCACCTCACCATCATCCTGCCATGTGACCATCATCCTGCCATCTCACCATCATCCTGCCATCTCACCATCATCCTGCCATCTCACCATCATCCTGCCATCTCACCATCATCCTGCCACCTCACCATCATCCTGCCACCTCACCATCATCCTGCCATCTCACCATCATCCTGCCATCTCACCATCATCCTGCCATCTCACCATCATCCTGCCAGCTCACCATCATCCTGCCACCTCACCATCATCCTGCCACCTCACCATCATCCTGCCATCTCACCATCATCCTGCCATCTCACCATCATCCTGCCATCTCACCATCATCCTGCCAGCTCACCATCATCCTGCCATCTCACCATCATCCTGCCATCTCACCATCATCCTGCCACCTCACCATCATCCTGTCATCTCACCATCATCCTGCCAGCTCACCATCATCCTGCCATTTCACCATCATCCTGCCATCTCACCATCATCCTGCCAGCTTACATCATCCTGCCACCTCACCATCATCCTGCCACCCCACCATCATCCTGCCACCTCACCATCATCCTGCCACCTCACCATCATCCTGCCATCTCACCATCATCCTGCCATCTCACCATCATCCTGCCACCTCACCATCATCCTGCCATCTCACCATCATCCTGCCACCTCACCATCATCCTGCCACCTCACCATCATCCTGCCACCTCACCATCATCCTGCCACCTCACCATCATCCTGCCATCTCACCATCATCCTGCCACCTCACATCATCCTGCCACCTCACCATCATCCTGCCACCTCACCATCATCCTGCCACCTCACCATCATCCTGCCATCTCACCATCATCCTGCCATCTCACCATCATCCTGCCACCTTACCATCATCCTGCCACCTTACCATCATCCTGCCACCTTACCATCATCCTGCCATCTCACCATCATCCTGCCAGCTCACCATCATCCTGCCAGCTCACCATCATGCCACCTCACCATCATCCTGCCACCTCACCATCATCCTGCCAGCTCACCATCATCCTGCCAGCTCACCATCATCATGCCACCTCACCATCATCCTGCCACCTCACCATCATCCTGCCACCTCACCATCATCCTGCCATCTCACCATCATCCTGCCATCTCACCATCATCCTGTCAGCTCACCATCATCCTGCCATCTCACCATCATCCTGCCATCTCACCATCATCCTGCCAGCTCACCATCATCCTGCCATCTCACCATCATCATGCCATCTCACCATCATCATGCCACCTCACCATCATCCTGCCACCTCACCATCATCCTGCCACCTCACCATCATCCTGCCACCTCACCATCATCCTGCCACCTCACCATCATCCTGCCACCTCACCATCATCCTGCCACCTCACCATCATCCTGCCACCTCACCATCATCCTGCCACCTCACCATCATCCTGCCACCTCACCATCATCCTGCCACCTCACCATCATCCTGCCATCTCACCATCATCCTGCCACCTCACCATCATCTTGCCACCTCACCATCATCCTGCCACCTCACCATCATCCTGCCACCTCACCATCATCCTGCCACCTCACCATCATCCTGCCACCTCACCATCATCCTGCCACCTCACCATCATCCTGCCACCTCACCATCATCCTGCCACCTCACCATCATCCTGCCACCTCACCATCATCCTGCCACCTCACCATCATCCTGCCATGTCACCACCATCCTGCCATGTCACCACCATCCTGCCATCTCACCATCATCCTGCCACCTCATCATCATCCTGCCATCTCATCATCATCCTGCCATCTCACCATCATCCTGCCACCTCACCATCATCTTGCCATCTCACCATCATCCTGCCACCTCACCATCATCCTGCCACCTCACCATCATCCTGCCAGCTCACCATCATCATGCCACCTCACCATCATCATGCCACCTCACCATCATCTTGCCACCTCACCATCATCCTGCCACCTCACCATCATCCTGCCACCTCACCATCATCCTGCCACCTCACCATCATCCTGCCATCTCACCATCATCCTGCCACCTCACCATCATCCTGCCACCTCACCATCATCCTGCCACCTCACCATCATCCTGCCACCTCACCATCATCCTGCCACCTCACCATCATCCTGCCACCTCACCATCATCCTGCCACCTCACCATCATCTTGCCACCTCACCATCATCCTGCCACCTCACCATCATCCTGCCACCTCACCATCATCCTGCCACCTCACCATCATCCTGCCACCTCACCATCATCCTGCCATCTCACCATAATCCTGCCACCTCACCATCATCCTGCCACCTCACCATCATCCTGCCATCTCACCATCATCCTGCCACCTCACCATCATCCTGCCATGTCACCATCATCCTGCCATCTCACCATCATCCTGCCATCTCACCATCATCCTGCCATCTCACCATCATCCTGCCATCTCACCATCATCCTGCCATCTCACCATCACCCTGCCATCTCACCATCATCCTGCCACCTCACCATCATCCTGCCACCTCACCATCATCCTGCCATCTCACCATCATCCTGCCATCTCACCATCATCCTGCCACCTCACCATCATCCTGCCACCTCACCATCATCCTGCCACCTCACCATCATCCTGCCACCTCACCATCATCCTGCCACCTCACCATCATCCTGCCACCTCACCATCATCCTGCCACCTCACCATCATCCTGCCACCTCACCATCATCCTGCCACCTCACCATCATCCTGCCACCTCACCATCATCCTGCCACCTCACCATCATCCTGCCACCTCACCATCATCCTGCCACCTCACCATCATCCTGCCATCTCACCATCATCCTGCCATCTCACCATCATCCTGCCACCTCACCATCATCCTGCCATCTCACCATCATCCTGCCATCTCACCATCATCCTGCCATCTCACCATCATCCTGCCATCTCACCATCATCCTGCCATCTCACCATCATCCTGCCACCTCACCATCATCCTGCCATCTCACCATCATCCTGCCATCTCACCATCATCCTGCCATCTCACCATCATCCTGCCATCTCACCATCATCCTGCCAGCTCACCATCATCCTGCCACCTCACCATCATCCTGCCACCTCACCATCATCCTGCCATCTCACCATCATCCTGCCATCTCACCATCATCCTGCCATCTCACCATCATCCTGCCATCTCACCATCATCCTGCCATCTCACCATCATCCTGCCATCTCACCATCATCCTGCCACCTCACCATCATCCTGTCATCTCACCATCATCCTGCCAGCTCACCATCATCCTGCCATTTCACCATCATCCTGCCATCTCACCATCATCCTGCCAGCTCACCATCATCCTGCCACCTCACCATCATCCTGCCACCTCACCATCATCCTGCCACCCCACCATCATCCTGCCACCTCACCATCATCCTGCCACCTCACCATCATCCTGCCATCTCACCATCATCCTGCCATCTCACCATCATCCTGCCACCTCACCATCATCCTGCCACCTCACCATCATCCTGCCACCTCACCATCATCCTGCCACCTCACCATCATCCTGCCACCTCACCATCATCCTGCCACCTCACCATCATCCTGCCATCTCACCATCATCCTGCCACCTCACATCATCCTGCCACCTCACCATCATCCTGCCACCTCACCATCATCCTGCCATCTCACCATCATCCTGCCATCTCACCATCATCCTGCCACCTTACCATCATCCTGCCACCTTACCATCATCCTGCCAGCTCACCATCATCCTGCCAGCTCACCATCCTGCCAGCTCACCATCATCCTGCCATCTCACCATCATCCTGCCAGCTCACCATCATCATGCCACCTCACCATCATCCTGCCACCTCACCATCATCCTGCCACCTCACCATCATCCTGCCATCTCACCATTATCCTGCCACCTCACCATTATCCTGCCACCTCACCATCATCCTGCCACCTCACCATCATCCTGCCACCTCACCATCATCCTGCCACCTCACCATCATCCTGCCACCTCACCATCATCCTGCCACCTCACCATCATCCTGCCACCTCACCATCATCCTGCCACCTCACCATCATCCTGCCACCTCACCATCATCCTGCCACCTCACCATCATCCTGCCACCTCACCATCATCCTGCCACCTCACCATCATCCTGCCACCTCACCATCATCCTGCCACCTCACCATCATCCTGCCACCTCACCATCATCCTGCCACCTCACCATCATCCTGCCACCTCACCATCATCCTGCCACCTCACCATCATCCTGCCATCTCACCATCATCCTGCCACCTCACCATCATCCTGCCATGTGACCATCATCCTGCCATCTCACCATCATCCTGCCATCTCACCATCATCCTGCCACCTCACCATCATCCTGCCATCTCATCATCATCTTGCCATCTCACCATCATCCTGCCACCTCACCATCATCCTGCCATCTCACCATCATCCTGCCACCTCACCATCATCCTGCCATCTCACCATCATCCTGCCACCTCACCATCATCCTGCCATGTGACCATCATCCTGCCATCTCACCATCATCCTGCCATCTCACCATCATCCTGCCATCTCACCATCATCCTGCCATCTCACCATCATCCTGCCACCTCACCATCATCCTGCCACCTCACCATCATCCTGCCATCTCACCATCATCCTGCCATCTCACCATCATCCTGCCATCTCACCATCATCCTGCCATCTCACCATCATCCTGCCAGCTCACCATCATCCTGCCACCTCACCATCATCCTGCCATCTCACCATCATCCTGCCATCTCACCATCATCCTGCCATCTCACCATCATCCTGCCAGCTCACCATCATCCTGCCATCTCACCATCATCCTGCCATCTCACCATCATCCTGCCACCTCACCATCATCCTGTCATCTCACCATCATCCTGCCAGCTCACCATCATCCTGCCATTTCACCATCATCCTGCCATCTCACCATCATCCTGCCAGCTTACATCATCCTGCCACCTCACCATCATCCTGCCACCCCACCATCATCCTGCCACCTCACCATCATCCTGCCACCTCACCATCATCCTGCCATCTCACCATCATCCTGCCATCTCACCATCATCCTGCCACCTCACCATCATCCTGCCATCTCACCATCATCCTGCCACCTCACCATCATCCTGCCACCTCACCATCATCCTGCCACCTCACCATCATCCTGCCACCTCACCATCATCCTGCCATCTCACCATCATCCTGCCACCTCACATCATCCTGCCACCTCACCATCATCCTGCCACCTCACCATCATCCTGCCACCTCACCATCATCCTGCCATCTCACCATCATCCTGCCATCTCACCATCATCCTGCCACCTTACCATCATCCTGCCACCTTACCATCATCCTGCCACCTTACCATCATCCTGCCATCTCACCATCATCCTGCCAGCTCACCATCATCCTGCCAGCTCACCATCATGCCACCTCACCATCATCCTGCCACCTCACCATCATCCTGCCAGCTCACCATCATCCTGCCAGCTCACCATCATCATGCCACCTCACCATCATCCTGCCACCTCACCATCATCCTGCCACCTCACCATCATCCTGCCATCTCACCATCATCCTGCCATCTCACCATCATCCTGCCACGTCACCATCATCCTGCCACGTCACCATCATCCTGCCACCTCACCATCATCCTGCCACCTCACCATCATCCTGCCACCTCACGATCATCCTGCCACCTCACCATCATCCTGCCACCTCACCATCATCCTGCCACCTCACCATCATCCTGCCACCTCACCATCATCCTGCCACCTCACCATCATCCTGCCACCTCACCATCATCCTGCCACCTCACCATCATCCTGCCACCTCACCATCATCCTGCCACCTCACCATCATCCTGCCACCTCACCATCATCCTGCCACCTCACCATCATCCTGCCATCTCACCATCATCCTGCCACCTCACCATCATCCTGCCATGTCACCATCATCCTGCCATCTCACCACCATCCTGCCATCTCACCATCATCCTGCCACCTCACCATCATCCTGCCATCTCATCATCATCCTGCCATCTCACCATCATCCTGCCACCTCACCATCATCCTGCCATCTCACCATCATCCTGCCACCTCACCATCATCCTGCCACCTCACCATCATCCTGCCACCTCACCATCATCCTGCCACCTCACCATCATCCTGCCACCTCACCATCATCCTGCCATCTCACCATCATCCTGCCATCTCACCATCATCCTGTCAGCTCACCATCATCCTGCCATCTCACCATCATCCTGCCATCTCACCATCATCCTGCCAGCTCACCATCATCCTGCCATCTCACCATCATCATGCCATCTCACCATCATCATGCCACCTCACCATCATCCTGCCATCTCACCATCATCCTGCCACCTCACCATCATCCTGCCATCTCACCATCATCCAGCCACCTCACCATCATCCTGCCACCTCACCATCATCCTGCCACCTCACCATCATCCTGCCACCTCACCATCATCCTGCCACCTCACCATCATCCTGCCACCTCACCATCATCCTGCCACCTCACCATCATCCTGCCACCTCACCATCATCCTGCCACCTCACCATCATCCTGCCACCTCACCATCATCCTGCCACCTCACCATCATCCTGCCATCTCACCATCATCCTGCCACCTCACCATCATCTTGCCACCTCACCATCATCCTGCCACCTCACCATCATCCTGCCACCTCACCATCATCCTGCCACCTCACCATCATCCTGCCACCTCACCATCATCCTGCCACCTCACCATCATCCTGCCACCTCACCATCATCCTGCCACCTCACCATCATCCTGCCACCTCACCATCATCCTGCCACCTCACCATCATCCTGCCATGTCACCACCATCCTGCCATGTCACCACCATCCTGCCATCTCACCATCATCCTGCCACCTCATCATCATCCTGCCATCTCATCATCATCCTGCCATCTCACCATCATCCTGCCACCTCACCATCATCTTGCCATCTCACCATCATCCTGCCACCTCACCATCATCCTGCCACCTCACCATCATCCTGCCAGCTCACCATCATCATGCCACCTCACCATCATCATGCCACCTCACCATCATCTTGCCACCTCACCATCATCCTGCCACCTCACCATCATCCTGCCACCTCACCATCATCCTGCCACCTCACCATCATCCTGCCATCTCACCATCATCCTGCCACCTCACCATCATCCTGCCACCTCACCATCATCCTGCCACCTCACCATCATCCTGCCACCTCACCATCATCCTGCCACCTCACCATCATCCTGCCACCTCACCATCATCCTGCCACCTCACCATCATCTTGCCACCTCACCATCATCCTGCCACCTCACCATCATCCTGCCACCTCACCATCATCCTGCCACCTCACCATCATCCTGCCATCTCACCATAATCCTGCCACCTCACCATCATCCTGCCACCTCACCATCATCCTGCCATCTCACCATCATCCTGCCACCTCACCATCATCCTGCCATGTCACCATCATCCTGCCATCTCACCATCATCCTGCCATCTCACCATCATCCTGCCATCTCACCATCATCCTGCCATCTCACCATCATCCTGCCATCTCACCATCATCCTGCCATCTCACCATCATCCTGCCACCTCACCATCATCCTGCCACCTCACCATCATCCTGCCATCTCACCATCATCCTGCCATCTCACCATCATCCTGCCACCTCACCATCATCCTGCCACCTCACCATCATCCTGCCACCTCACCATCATCCTGCCACCTCACCATCATCCTGCCACCTCACCATCATCCTGCCACCTCACCATCATCCTGCCACCTCACCATCATCCTGCCACCTCACCATCATCCTGCCACCTCACCATCATCCTGCCACCTCACCATCATCCTGCCACCTCACCATCATCCTGCCACCTCACCATCATCCTGCCACCTCACCATCATCCTGCCATCTCACCATCATCCTGCCATCTCACCATCATCCTGCCACCTCACCATCATCCTGCCATCTCACCATCATCCTGCCATCTCACCATCATCCTGCCATCTCACCATCATCCTGCCATCTCACCATCATCCTGCCATCTCACCATCATCCTGCCACCTCACCATCATCCTGCCATCTCACCATCATCCTGCCATCTCACCATCATCCTGCCATCTCACCATCATCCTGCCATCTCACCATCATCCTGCCAGCTCACCATCATCCTGCCACCTCACCATCATCCTGCCACCTCACCATCATCCTGCCATCTCACCATCATCCTGCCATCTCACCATCATCCTGCCATCTCACCATCATCCTGCCATCTCACCATCATCCTGCCATCTCACCATCATCCTGCCATCTCACCATCATCCTGCCACCTCACCATCATCCTGTCATCTCACCATCATCCTGCCAGCTCACCATCATCCTGCCATTTCACCATCATCCTGCCATCTCACCATCATCCTGCCAGCTCACCATCATCCTGCCACCTCACCATCATCCTGCCACCTCACCATCATCCTGCCACCCCACCATCATCCTGCCACCTCACCATCATCCTGCCACCTCACCATCATCCTGCCATCTCACCATCATCCTGCCATCTCACCATCATCCTGCCACCTCACCATCATCCTGCCACCTCACCATCATCCTGCCACCTCACCATCATCCTGCCACCTCACCATCATCCTGCCACCTCACCATCATCCTGCCACCTCACCATCATCCTGCCACCTCACCATCATCCTGCCATCTCACCATCATCCTGCCACCTCACATCATCCTGCCACCTCACCATCATCCTGCCACCTCACCATCATCCTGCCATCTCACCATCATCCTGCCATCTCACCATCATCCTGCCACATTACCATCATCCTGCCACCTTACCATCATCCTGCCAGCTCACCATCATCCTGCCAGCTCACCATCATCCTGCCAGCTCACCATCCTGCCAGCTCACCATCATCCTGCCATCTCACCATCATCCTGCCAGCTCACCATCATCATGCCACCTCACCATCATCCTGCCACCTCACCATCATCCTGCCACCTCACCATCATCCTGCCATCTCACCATTATCCTGCCACCTCACCATTATCCTGCCACCTCACCATCATCCTGCCACCTCACCATCATCCTGCCACCTCACCATCATCCTGCCATCTCACCATCATCCTGCCACCTCACCATCATCCTGCCACCTCACCATCATCCTGCCACCTCACCATCATCCTGCCACCTCACCATCATCCTGCCACCTCACCATCATCCTGCCACCTCACCATCATCCTGCCACCTCACCATCATCCTGCCACCTCACCATCATCCTGCCACCTCACCATCATCCTGCCACCTCACCATCATCCTGCCACCTCACCATCATCCTGCCACCTCACCATCATCCTGCCACCTCACCATCATCCTGCCACCTCACCATCATCCTGCCACCTCACCATCATCCTGCCACCTCACCATCATCCTGCCATCTCACCATCATCCTGTCAGCTCACCATCATCCTGCCATCTCACCATCATCCTGCCATCTCACCATCATCCTGCCAGCTCACCATCATCCTGCCATCTCACCATCATCCTGCCATCTCACCATCATCATGCCACCTCACCATCATCATGCCACCTCACCATCATCCTGCCACCTCACCATCATCCTGCCACCTCACCATCATCCTGCCACCTCACCATCATCCTGCCACCTCACCATCATCCTGCCACCTCACCATCATCCTGCCATCTCACCATCATCCTGCCACCTCACCATCATCCTGCCACCTCATTATCATCCTGCCACCTCACCATCATCCTGCCACCTCACCATCATCCTGCCACCTCACCATCATCCTGCCACCTCACCATCATCCTGCCATCTCACCATCATCCTGCCACCTCACCATCATCTTGCCACCTCACCATCATCCTGCCATCTCACCATCATCCTGCCACCTCACCATCATCCTGCCACCTCACCATCATCCTGCCACCTCACCATCATCCTGCCATCTCACCATAATCCTGCCACCTCACCATCATCCTGCCACCTCACCATCATCCTGCCATCTCACCATCATCCTGCCACCTCACCATCATCCTGCCATGTCACCATCATCCTGCCATCTCACCATCATCCTGCCACCTCACCATCATCCTGCCATCTCATCATCATCCTGCCATCTCACCATCATCCTGCCACCTCACCATCATCCTGCAATCTCACCATCATCCTGCCACCTCACCATCATCCTGCCACCTCACCATCATCCTGCCAGCTCACCATCATCCTGCCATCTCACCATCATCCTACCAGCTCACCATCATCCTGCCAGCTCACCATCATCCTGCCATCTCACCATCATCCTGCCAGCTCACCATCATCCTGCCATCTCACCATCATCCTGCCATCTCACCATCATCCTGCCAGCTCACCATCATCCTGCCATCTCACCATCATCCTGCCAGCTCACCATCATCCTGCCATCGCACCATCATCCTGCCATCTCACCATCATCCTGCCACCTCACCATCATCCTGCCATCTCACCATCATCCTGCCAGCTCACCATTATCCTGCCATCTCACCATCATCCTGCCATCTCACCATCATCCTGCCACCTCACCATCATCCTGCCACCTCACCATCATCCTGCCATCTCACCATCATCCTGCCATCTCACCATCATCCTGCCAGCTCACCATCATCCTGCCATCTCACCATCATCCTGCCATCTCACCATCATCCTGCCTGCTCACCATCATCCTGCCACCTCACCATCATCCTGCCACCTCACCATCATCCTGCCATCTCACCATCATCCTGCCATCTCACCATCATCCTGCCATCTCACCATCATCATGCCAGCTCACCATCATCCTGCCACCTCACCATCATCCTGCCACCTCACCATCATCCTGCCATCTCACCATCATCCTGCCATCTCACCATCATCCTGCCATCTCACCATCATCCTGCCAGCTCACCATCATCCTGCCATCTCACCATCATCCTGCCATCTCACCATCATCCTGCCACCTCACCATCATCCTGCCATCTCACCATCATCCTGCCACCTCACCATCATCCTGCCACCTCACCATCATCCTGCCATCTCACCATCATCCTGCCATCTCACCATCATCCTGCCATCTCACCATCATCCTGCCAGCTCACCATCATCCTGCCATCTCACCATCATCCTGCCATCTCACCATCATCCTGCCATCTCACCATCATCCTGCCATCTCACCATCATCTTGCCATCTCACCATCATCCTGCCATCTCACCATCATCCTGCCATCTCACCATCATCCTGCCATCTCACCATCATCCTGCCATCTCACCATCATCCTGCCAGCTCACCATCATCCAGCTGCAAGCCGCGGCAGAACTCCCCAGTGTCGCTGAACACAAGCCCGCGCCCCACGCCCTCCGCACCTTCTTCCTCCCCACCCTCCGCGCCCTCCCCTTCCCCGTCGCCCCCCCGCCTCCTCACACGCCCCACCTGCTTCACCCGTGCCAGCACCAGAGCCTCGCCCCTCACTGCTGGGCCCACCCCCGCACCGCCCGCACCACTCCCAGCTCCCACGTCCGCCTCCTCTTTCACCTTCCCCACGTCACCCCCACCCCCATCCCCAGCGGCAGCGGCAGCGGCCCTGGCAGCAGCGGCGTGCTCCTCTTGCCGGCGTCTGAGGGCGAGCTGTCGGGTGCGCTGCAGCGACCGCTGCAGGTCCTCATCGTCATCGCCTATCACCACCGTGTCATCCCCCTCCCCCTCCTCCCCCTCTTCCTCCCCCTCTTCCTCCTCCTCTTCCCCCTCCCGTCCCGCCTCCTCGCCCTCGCCCTTCTCCTGCTCCTCCTCTTCCCTCTTCACCACCGTCCCTTCACCCCCTTCCTCCCACCCACCCTTCCCCCCCGCGCGCCCATCCACATCCATCTCCTCTTTCACAACCCCCCTCTCCTCCCTGCCACCCACTCCACCCTCCTCCCCTGCGCCCCCTTCCCTCTCCCCCTTCAGCGCCATCGAGGCCTGCACAGCCTTGGCCTTGGCGCTCTCATACGCCGCCCGCCCGCCCCTCTCCTCCCTCGCCTGCTCCTCCTTCCGCCTCGCCGTCACCCCCGTCTCTCCCTCCCCGTCCCTCCGCCCCAGATCCGAACCTCTCCCCAAACCTGCCGCCCGAGCCTGCGCCTCCAGCTTATCCAAATCTAATTTCTCCTTCTTCCTCTTTTTCTTCATCATACCCGCTCCTCCCTCCCCTGCTCCACCCTCCCCCTCCTCACCGCCCTCCTCCCCCCCTCGTCGCCTTCGGCTCTCCTTCTTCCGCTTTGGCTTTCGGAACTGTGCTGCCGCCCGCCGCTGCTCCATCTCCTCCGCCGTCAGGAAGTCGCTCGCCACCTTTGGGCTGGCAAAACTTGTCCCATCCGCCCCTCCCCCGAACGTGGTGCTGCCAAGAGCGTGCGGGGCAGGGGGGAGCGCGCTTGCTGCGCCCTGCAGCCTGCTGCGCACCTGGCGAGAAGGGGAAGGGAAGGGGACGGGCGGGGGGAACGTGGGGGAAAGGTGAGTAGAAGAGACAAGCTTCAAATGCAGACTCTTGCGAACATGCACTGAGGGAGAGTGGAGGGACGAGTGAGGGGAGTGAGGGATGGAGAAGGGCATGGAGAAGAGGGAGGGGAGTGAGGGATGGAGAAGGGCATGGATAAGAGGGAGGGGAGTGAGGGATGGAGAAGGGCATGGATAAGAGGGAGGGGAGTGAGGGATGGAGAAGGGCATGGATAAGAGGGAGGGGAGTGAGGGATGGAGAAGGGCATGGAGAAGAGGGAGGGGAGTGAGGGATGGAGAAGGGCATGGATAAGAGGGAGGGGAGTGAGGGATGGAGAAGGGCATGGATAAGAGGGAGGGGAGTGAGGGATGGAGAAGGGCATGGATAAGAGGGAGGGGAGTGAGGGATGGAGAAGGGCATGGATAAGAGGGAGGGGAGTGAGGGATGGAGAAGGGCATGGATAAGAGGGAGGGGAGTGAGGGATGGAGAAGGGCATGGATAAGAGGGAGGGGAGTGAGGGATGGAGAAGGGCATGGATAAGAGGGAGGGGAGTGAGGGATGGAGAAGGGCATGGATAAGAGGGAGGGGAGTGAGGGATGGAGAAGGGCATGGATAAGAGGGAGGGGAGTAGGGACAAGAGGAGGAAGGAGGGAGCGGGGCAGCGGGGTCATACTTGAGGGGGATGCTACCAGAGTGGAGGAGAGGGTGGGAGCAACAAAGGAGTCCGTGAGGCGACCCAGGACCAGGATTGCGATGTCAACTCTTCACGGCTTCTAACAGAGAGGGAGGGTTGGAACTTGGAAGGATGGGTGCACCTCTGCCCCCCCTTTCGTCTTCTCTCCCTCTCGCCCCGCCTCTCCCCTCCCCCTCGCCTCTCCCCTCCCCCACGCCTCACCTCCCCCTTGCCCTCACCCCTCCTCGCCTGGCTTGCCCTCACCTGGTCCAGTCGCGAGCGAGTGGCCTCGTCCAGCCCGCCTGAACCGTCCAACACTATCCCCTGCCGCCATGTGCCCACCACAGCCATACCACGCCACACCACGCCACACCACGCCACACCACGCCACGCCATGCAGAACAGAGTTGGCAAGGGAAAGAGGGGAGAGTGGGGGGAGGTAGGGGTGATGAGCGCATGGGCAAGAGAATAGGGGCGCCGTTCACGGCCTGCACTGCACGCAATGGTCGTCATGGATCGCTTGCCCTTCCAACCCCTCTCTGCCATCGCATCCCCACTGCTCACCCCTGGTGCAGCTCACTGACCTCGTCCTCCTGCCCGTCGTCGTACTGCGGCAGCATGGGCTTCTTCTCTCCCTCGTCCTCTGCGAACCTGCTCCTCGTGGGGAAGGCAAGGGGGACGAGAGGCAGGGAGGGCAGGAAGGGTGAGGGGCAGGGAGGGAAGGGGGAACGAGAGGCAGGGAGGGCGAGAGGCAGGGAGGGCGAGAGGCAAGGAGGGCGAGAGGCAGTGGATGGGGGAGGCAGTAAATGAGAGAGACAGGTCGTTGGAGCGTGCTTCTGACTTGTCTCTGTGACAGCACTCCATTCCAACCTTTCCCAGCCCCCCAAGCAGGTCGACAGCACAGCACTGCCCCTCTCATCTCACTTGTCGGCAATGCTGGTGGTCTTCTTAGCAGCGCGGTACGCCTTGTCTCGCCGGCTCTGCTCCGCCACCTCCACGTTCTCCAACTCGTCCTCCTCTGCTCGCGCGCCGCACACAGTACGCCATGCCCGGGAACGGAGGGGGAAGAGGCGGGGGATAGAGATGGTTAGTAGCGGACAAAAAAATACTGAAGCACAAAAAAGTGGGTGCGAGCGTAAGGAGAGGAAGACGACAAGACGGAGATAGATGGAGACACAGAAACCAGCAACATTGAGATGCTCTCCTCCTTTGGTGTGTGCCTGCCCGCAGCAGTACCTTCATTGACGTCGTCCCCCGCGAGAATAGAGGCGTCCTTGAGCGTGAGCACCACGGCCGCGCCCTCCTGCAGCACCGCGCCCACCCCGTGCCTCACCCTCAGCCCCGCCAGGTCGCCTGCAATGGTCGGGGAAGGGCGTACGGAGGGAGGCAGCAAGGGGAGAGGGGAGGAGAGAAGGAGAAGGAATGGGTGAGGGAGGAAGTGAGGCAGATGGCAATGGGGAGGAGACAGAGCGTGGGTTTGGGGAGGAAAAGGAAGTCGAGGCGAAGGAGGAAAGATCAAAGGCACGACGTGGGTGGGAGGGCGAGGGAGAGGCAGCAGCAGCAGGAAGCGCGCATGACGGGTGTGTGCGGAGCGGATGGGCTTGCGAGTCGAGTCCAGAGGCACGGTGCCCACAGCAGGCGAGGACGCGGGAGAGGGAGAAAGAGGGGGGGGAGAGGAGTGGTGATGGTGCGGGTGGGGCGTGGGAGTGGGAGCTCACGAGAGGTGTACTCTGGCCGCGTTGACCGCTGCCGCCCTCCTTGCTCCTCCTCGTCGTCCTCCTCCTCCTCCGCAGCCGCGTCGTCCTGCGGTGAGATCACAACCGACAAACGCACGGCACTGCGGGGAATAAAATCTTCATTGCCTTTGTCAAGGAAACATGTCGCACACTTGATTAAAATGGAGACGACATATTTTATTCATACAAAGTGCATCAGTAAAGACGACAAACTGCGCGCCAGCGGCGAATCGAGCTAAGCTGCAAGCGGCAGACAACTGGGTAACATCAAATCACTCCCTTTGCCGCGCCACGGCAATCCATAGCAACGGCGGACACGCTTTTTGTAACGCGACGGACAAGCGCCACGAGGTGAGGCGAAACACGCATGGGTGAGTGGCGGCGGAGGCACGCGAGCGAGTCGCACCTGGTCGGCGAGCATGCGCGCCATGCGCTCCGCCTTCTCCTTCTCCGCGCGCCGCTTCTCGTCCAGCTTGCGACTCTTCGCCACCCACGCCATCAGATCGTCGCCCGCATCGCCGCCGCCGTTCGCAGTCGCGGCGGCATCGCCTTTGCGAGCCTTGGGAGCCATGCGCGTCGCTGGGCTGTCGAGGGCTGAGGAATCTCAGGAACACAGATTGGCAAAACCAGGTGACTGACGGATGATTGAGGGATTGTCTTGTGAACGACGGTGCTCTGCACCAGCATCTCTTGTGAAAACGGCTCACTAGCGCGTATGAGACCTTCTGGAACAAGAGCTAGCAAAATCTTTCGCGAACAAAGAATGGAAAGTTACCACCCAAGCAATTCGCAGGAGAAACTGATTTAGGGGCGTGTTTCAACTAAGTGTTCAAAAGGATCCAAAAATCGAACCAAGAATAGTACCAGGAAGTTTTCTAAACAATGGGCTTCAGGAAAATCGAAGGAGCACTACTCGGAGTGTTGGGCTGAGCTACAAAACGCGTCTTCCATGACCCGGCCCAAGTGACTTCGAATCTGCGTCTTTCCTAGTTTCTCCGTCGCTGCCACATGTGCGATCTTCCTCGCTCTACATCTTCCATGCCTGATCAGCCCCGTCCGATCCAGCCATAGACGTGTCGTGATCCGCTGGAGAACCGCGCGTGAGTATTCTGGCGCCAGTTGGGCAGTTTACCTCGAAAACTGCTTGGGGAGACGAGGGAGTGAGGTCGCAAGCGATCAGCTAGTGCAGTGAACAGATGAGATCTTACGAGCGAATTCTGATGTATTGGCCACTGCGGAGTTGCTCCGTCATTGCAAGAGAGCGTAGGGCCTTGCCCCGGTGGTTTTCCCTGGTTTGATCACTGCGATCGTCCCGTGCGTGCGCCCAACCCGCCCACCCAACCCTTGCTTGTTCCTCGCAGCTTCCTCTTCCTTCCGCGTGCGACGGGTCTCTCTCCTCGCACGCCGACCGTGACCTGCACAGACGCTGTCTCCGGCTCACAAGCGAGCCGCCTTCTTCCTTCGTGGATCCAGAAGGGGTCAGCCCGGAGCTTTGCGCCTGCCTGGCCGTCGTTTAGGGGATATCACTCAGGCGATTGTCGCTTAGGGGATTTTTGCCCAACGGAGCGTCGCGTGTGGTGTGTGAACGATAGGAGCACCAAGGGGGTCCTTATCCGAGCCGCCCCATGGCGACTAAGGTGCGACGGTGGGGTTGTCGCGCAGCCACTGGCATGGTGCGATTGTGAGTTTGTCGCACAGCCACTGGCCTGGTGCGATTGTGAGGTTGTCGCACAGCTGATGGCTTGGTGCGATTGTGAGGTTGTCGCACAGCTGATGGCTTGGTGCAAGGGTGGCTGGGGAACAGAGGGGCTAGATGCACTGACGTCTCGCTCTCTCCTTCTCCCTTCCCCGGCGCCCTTCACTCTTAATGACGTCTTCTCCACTCCTTTACATTGCCTCGTTTCCTCCCACCCCCCTCCCCACCCCTCACGCGGCACACTGACAGAAGCAGTCGCAATCGGGCCTGCTCTCGTCGCTACTAAAACCAGATGTTGCTGAGGATCAGGTATGACGTGGATGACGTGGATGACGTGGATGTCGTGGATGGCGTGGATGGCGTGGATGACGTGGATGACGTGGATGACGTGGATGGCGTGGATGACATGAGTGGTGGGAAGGCTAGGTAGAAAGTGGGCAAGAGGGATGGCGTATGAGGTGGAAGGAAGTTAGGAAAGTGCTACACTGTGGTACTGGCATGTGTTTCTGACTTTTATGAACGCGCAGAACCAAGCACGATGTGCTTGGTATGAAGCCAATGTCCCTCTTTTACAAAAGCAACATTCCTCATTTCCCTGTTTCCGTTCAATTCCGTTCCCTCCATTGCCGCCGTCTGCCCCTTCCCACGCATGCGCCCCTCCCCCGCTCCCATGGCCCATGGGCAGGATGCGTTCAAGGACGTGCTGTACTGGATGCGCCAGGTGCTCGCGGTGCTCTTTGGCGTCGTGTGGGGCATTGCGCCCATCACAGGCGGCATTGGCATCATCGGGTCAGTGGCGGCTGTGTGTGGTGTGGAGGTAGGGATGTTGGGGTGCGTTTGGGTGGTGGGTAGTAGGCCAGTAGTGGAGGGTCGTTTTGTCAGTTTGATTGTGTTCCTTGGTTGAATTTGTCCTAACCGTCAGGAAACCACGGCAGTAGTGCAAACTGGAGATTCCCAGTCGAACCAGTGCATTGCAATCTCTCCAATCACATGCCAGCGAGTTGGTCTCTTTCTGTCTAACATTTTCTCCCACCGGTGAGGAAGCTTCCTGGTGCTGAGTACTGCGGTGATGATGAGGTACTCCTCGCTGGTAGTGAGAGAAAGAAATGCCTCACATGCCATCATCTCTTTCTCTCATTTCCTTTCTCCCAACGGCGGTGAGGCAGCTTCCTGGTGCTGAGCACGGCGGTGATGATGGGGTACTACACGCTGGTGGTGAAGGTGGACGCGGAGGAGCTGGGCGGCCACGGGGCACTGCTGCAGGAGGGCCTCCTCAACTCCTTTGGCGTCTTCCTGGTCAGTCTTGTCTCATCCGTCCCCATGCTGCTCAACTAAGGCATCCTTTCCTGAACTCTCATGTTCGCTGTGTAGGTGACTTGGTGGTGTTTCCGTAGCTTGTCGCTCTTATTGAGAGCCGGAAATACCCAGCGATACCTGAACAGGCTCTGCTGTTCTCTCTTCCCACACTTCCATTTCCGCTTGCCCCACTGCAGCTCGTTTGGATACTGCTCTTCACATATCTGCATGCCTCATGAGGTGGCGCACCTGGACGATTGTAGCACCTCGCCATGTGGACATGAAGCCTAACTGCTGTTCCTTGTGTCACACACATGTGGCCTGCTGGTCAGTCGAAATTGGATTTCTTCTTAGGATCATAGGATTGCACAATCAACCGAAAAAATAGCCCTTTAGGATCTTTGCAGGGGTGAACTCTGAGTATGACTTGTTGTAATAGCGGAAGCTTAAAGCCCGCATGCAAAATAGTGACCCCCGTCCCAACTTGAATGAGGAGTTGGAAGTGAGGATGAAACCAGTGTCAAAAACACTGTTTCAAACGATTTGTATGGGCAGAGTGAACTCATGTTATTGGCTCTCGCCACAATGGAACGTAATGGTTCCCGCCAAAATGAACTTTCTTTCTCATATCAGCCGTCGCATTTTTGAGTGCCGCATCCGCACGACAAACCCCAGGCGATGGTTTCCCATCGCAGGCCCAACCTCATTTTCAAGCTGGTGATGGGTGCATTACTAGATTTCTGTCGCTCCATTCATCACTAGTTTCCGCATAGCATAGTAAGTAGTATAGCTGAAAGCACAGGCGTTCGTGTCATAGCCACGTAATTACCGACGAGTGCGTCAATCGTCGACTTAGCAAGAGTGTGAAATGTAGGTTTACATGGCCTGGTAGCGCAGTGCCAGTTTCCCGTCTCAATCAATTTGTCCGTCGCCTCGCTCTCTAGTCCGTCCCGTCGCCTTTCCGTCGCCCTCGCAAACACACGCGTGACGGCCCTCCCGTCGTCGTCACGGTCTCCCCTCCCGGTCCGTTATTCTCCCGTTCACCCCTCTTGTTCTCTCGCCCTCGCGATTTCCCTCCGATCCCGTCGCCTTCCCGTTCTCCCGCCCCTCGCCTTCGATGTCCCCTCTTCCTTCCCGTCGCCCTCACTATCTCCCTTCCCTCACGTTGCCTTCGATGTCCCCCTTTTCCTTCCGTCGCCCTCGCGATATCCCTTCCCCCTCCCGTCGCCTGTCCGCTCTCTCTCCCGTCGCCTGTCCGCTCCCCCCGCCCTCGCCTTCGTGCTCTCTCCCCCGTTGCCTTCGTGCTCTCCCTCCCGTCGGCTTCGCGCCCTCCCTCCCGTCTCCTTCGCGCTCTCCCTCCCGTTGCCTGTCCGCCCTCCCTCCCGTCTCCTTCGCGCTCTCCCTCCCGTTGCCTGAACCCCCGTCCCTCCCTTCGCCTTCGCGCTCTCTCTCCCGTCGCCTGTCCGCTCCTTCTCCCCTCGCCTTCGTGCTCTCTCTCCCGTCGCCTTCGTGCTCTCCCTCCCGTCAGCTTCGCGCCCTCCCTCCCGTCTCCTTTGCGCTCTCCCTCCCGTAGCCTGTCCGCCCTCCCTCCCGTCTCCTCGCGCTCTCCCTCCCGTTGCCTGTCCGCCCTCCTTTCCGTCTCCTTCGCGCTCTCCCTCCCGTTGCCTGTCTGCCCTCCCTCCCTTCGCCTTCGCGCTCTCTCTCCCGTCGCCTGTCCGCTCCCCCTCCCCTCGCCTTCGCGCTCTCCCTCCCGTCGGCGCCCTCCCTCCCGTCTCCTTCGCGCTCTCCCTCCCGTTGCCTGTCCGCCCTCCCTACCTTCGCCTTCGCGCTCTCTCTCCCGTCGCCTGTCCGCTCTCCCTCCCATCGCCTTATCGCTCTCCCTCCCGTCGCCTTTCTCCTTCCCCACTTATCTCCTATCGCTCACGTCCTCCCCTCCCATCGGCATCGCGCTCACGTTCCGCCCTCCCGTCACCATCGCGCTCACGTGCACCTGTCTTCGCATCGCCTTCGCGCTCATGGCCTCCCCTCCGATCACGTCTCGCGACATAAGTTAAGCTAGCAAGGACGTCTCGTGCCGTCGCTATCTCCCATCACGTTCCGCGCCGTCGTTATCTCCCCCCTTCACCCCGTCGCGCTCGCTGTTTCTCCCCCCTCTCCCCGTCGCGCTCGCTATCTCCCACGCGATCTCATAGCGATCCCCTATTTGCAGTCGCCTACGCGATCTACTCCATTTTCCGTCGCCCGCGATCTCCCCCATTGTACGGTAAATCGCCCTCGCTATACCCCCTCCCTTACCGTTCTAATTCCCGTCGGCCCCTCTCTCTCCTCTCGAGTCACCTTGTCGTTCTTCTGTTTGCTACTTGCATCACTCGGTGTTGTTAGTTAGCTCAACATTGTGTGTATGCTGCGTGTGTGGTGGCAGGTTCCGTTGTGAAATTTGTGATGTGTTGTGCTCGATGCGGATTTGGATGGGTGGGAGAAGTGGAAATGTCATAGAAAGCTTGCGACAATTCTGTGCATGTTGCGACTGATCGTATCAGAAGTCGGAAACAACTTCAAATCGGTCTTGTTACTACTTGGGGACTTGCCCTGTTCAGAAAAAAACACCAAACTTTCTGGAAATTTTCATGAGCTTTCTAGTGGACCCAACTAGAAGGGGGGGGTCACTGTTTTGCATGCGGGCTTTAATGAGAAGTGTTTGAACCACCTTGCACTAGTATGTGAGGGCAAAGTAGATTGATTAAAACAAAGAGATACAAGATTATATAAGAGTACAAGGAATATGAAGAGGTACAGTTATAACTGTTTTACTGTTGTTGTTGCGGTTCGATACAGTGGCGACTCGGGCAACTGCTCTGAAGTGAGTTAGTTGTGTGTCCTTGCTGTCGCGCTGTACTTGTCAAGTCAAAGGTCACTGACCTTTGACTTTCGCGTAACCTCCAACAGTTACTTTCAACCTCCGAGGGTTGACTCGTCGGTGCTTCGGTATGCTTCGCTTCGTTTATGCCTTTGTGTTTCGACACGACAGAGGCGCTTAAGAGCGATTGTTTCCAACACTCCCCTTCGCTTCTGGAGTGTCGCTGCTGGTGACGTGGCTCTGTCCAGTCAGCAGCATGCAGTACTCGAACTTCTGCTTTCCGACCTTCTCGGTCAAGTAGTCAGCTGCCATCTCGGATGTGGGGCAGTATGACAACTCGAGCCTCCCTTTCTCGATCTCGTCCTTCACGAAGAAATATCGCACGGCGATGTGTTTCGTCCTGTTCGCGAAGCCGTTCTTGTTGGCGATGCGAATTGCCGACTGGTTGTCGCAGAACAGAGTGAAGCTGGGTAACTGAGCCAGCTTCGCTTCTTCCAGCAGTTCGCGAAGGTAAAGTCCTTCCTTGGTGGCTGAACAGAGTGCAATATATTCTGCTTCAGCTGACGAGAGGGCGATTAATTCCTGCTTGCTCGACTGCCAAGAGATAGGTCCGATAGGTTCGAGGCGGTAGATGTAGCCGGTGCGGGAGCGCCTGTTGTCGGAGTCGCCAGCGTGATCGGCGTCAACGTAGCCGATTAACTTAGGCGGTGTAGTTGTGTTCTTGTAGTAAGTTAGGCCGATCGTCGGGGTGCTGACGAGGTAGTGAAGATCGCGGTCGAGCTCCGCCAGATGTTCCGCTTCAGGCTTCTTGAGGTAGGTGGCGACTGACTTGCAGAGTACGATAGGTCCGGGCGACAGGTGACAGCTGCGAAAAGGAGGCATCCCAGTTTCCTCTGGTAGTCGCGTATGCCGGCGGGCTTAAGTAGAGCGGAGTTTCCCTTGCTGTTTCCTGTTGTGTAGTGGTACGGTGTGGAGATGGTGGTCGGTGTGAGTGCGAAGCGCTTGGCGATGGTGTCGGCGTATTTCGCGGCACTGAGGTAGATCGCGTCTTCCTCTTCTCGGATGTTGAGACCAAGGTACTGTGTGACGGTAGATGAGACCGTGAGCGTGAGGTCCTTCTGCAGCTCCCCTTCGAACCAGGTTGTGATGCCGTCGGTCGAGCCGATGTAGAGTAGATCGTCTACATAGACGATTAACAGGATGTAGTCGGTGCCCTTCGTGAGCCGGTACATGCCCTGATCGTGCGGTAGTTGTTTGAAGCCGATGCGAATGAGGCGAGCGTGCAGGTATTGTTGCCATAGCCGCGGAGCTTGCTTGATGCCGTAGAGCGACTTTAGTAGCTGACAGACTTGATTGGGCTCGCCGTTGGAGCCGTGCGGTAATTCGACGAAGATTTCTGCGTCAACAGGTGCGTAGAGGAATGCGTTCGCGACGTCGATTTGCCGCAACTTCTTTTTCTTCATGGCGGCGATCGCGAGGAGGATTCGGAGTGAAGTGTGTCGACTGACCGGAGCGAATGTTTCGGTGAAGTCGCGTCCGTGTTCTTGGTCGAAGCCGCGTACGACCCAGCGAGCTTTAAACTTGTCGATGGTGCCGTCAGCCTTTGTCTTCACACGGAAGACCCACTTCCCGGTGAGTGCTGTTTTGTTCCGTGCTACGCCGATAGGAACGACCTTCCAGGTGTTGCGTTCCTCCAGTGCCTTTAGTTCCCTGTCCATGGCTTCGCGCCATTTTTCCTTATGTTCCCCCCCCAGAGCCTGTTGAACTGTTGCAGGCTCTTTAGGAATGGCGGTGCCATGAACGGCGGTGACGAGGCCGAGTATCTGGAGTCCACTTTGTGTGTAGCGGGGAATAGTTGTATCCTCGGGATAGACTGCTTCGTCTCCGGCTTCTGGATCAGGTAAGAAATTTGGCCCTATGCGTTCAGCTTCGTTGGTGTTGACTCGGGCGGGTGTAACGTAACCGTTGTCGGCGAAGTCGTAGAAGACTTCGGCGTTGATGCTGTCGCGTGGGTTGTCGTCGTCCATGGGAATGTCCACTGAGCAGTAAGGGAGAGGTCCGGCTTCCTCCGAAGCTCCGTCCATGGTCTGCTCGTCCAGGTCAGCTTCTTCTTCTGCCGAGGCAAAGGCTCGGTCCCCTCGAAATCCGCCTGTGACATCTCGTGAGGTCTCCAAGTTGTACAGGTACGACGAAAGAGTGAGTCGTTCGTAGAAAATGACGTCACGTGCTGCCACTGTTTCCTTTGAGTGGACGTCAAAAATCTTCCACGCGTTGTAGTGCTTTTCGATGCCCAGGTGTAGTCCCCACTGTGCGCGTTGTGAGAAACGGCCAGCGCGTGCAGATGGAGGTCGGTACTGTACCATGCAGCCAAAATTTCGTAACATTTTGGTGCTGCCCTGTTTTCCTGTCCACAGCAGATGCGGTGATGCGTTGTTCGGGAGCGATGATGACGAGAGCAAGTTGTGCAGCATGACGGCGTGGTCCATTGCTTCGGGCCACTGGTGGTTGGGTAGCCGCATGCCACGTAGCAGCTTGCGCATGGTGTTTTGAAGGGTCCTGTTCATTCTTTCTGCTACACCCTGCTGTTGATGGGCGTAGGGGAGAGAGACGAGCCGCTTGATTCCTCGTTTCGCCAGGTAGTCTTTGAACTGCAGGGACGTGTATTCCCCTGCTCCATCTGACTGGAAGCTCTTTAGTTTTACGCCTGATTCTCGTTCTGCTACTGGAAGCCATGCGATGAAAGCTTGGAAGGCCATGTCACGGCTTGGAAGGTTGCGGTGCCAGACATAGCGCGTGGCGGCGTCGATGAACGTGATGGTGTAGTTGTATGCTTCTTGTCCAGGTTCGCGATTATACAGGATATCGCTGTACACTTTCTCGAGTGGTGCGTAAGCGGGTGCGCTCGGGTTGTGGTGAGAGACGAAGGGCTGATGCGGTAAGTCAGCTTCTGGACAGGTGAAGCAAGTTCCTCTCATTCGTCGAAGTTCTCTGCCGTCGGGTAAGAGTAGTGAATCTTTGTCAAGAACGCCTGCTCGTATCGTGTTGTTTATGGTCGTGTTGCTTGGATGTCCCAGTCGTTTGTGCCAGAGGTCTTCGTCGGCGCGATGTCCGGGTGAGCATCGGTATTCGTCGGAGTTGGAGTAGAAACTGGCGGTGAAGTTTGCGCTTCGATGTACTTCTCGAGGTGTTGGATTCAGCTATTGCGCAGGAGTCAGTGGAGTGTCGTCGTCGATCGGAGCTGGTGCGGTTGAAGAACCCGGTATTGGTGCCGATGTTGTCTCTGCTGCTGCCGATGTTGCCTCTGCTGCTGTCGGTGTTGTCTCTGCTGCTGCCGATGTTGCCTCTGCTGCTGTCGATGTTGCCTCTGCTGTTGCCGAGTGTTGAATCGTTGCTAATGCTCGTGTTCGTTCTGCCTCTGGTATGGTATGTGAATACCAGAACCCTTCGGGGCTGAAGTCAGGATCAAGATCCGGTGGGTGTGTCCAGGAGGTGAAGGTGACGATTCCATCGCTGTCGGCGGTGCCTAAGTCTGGGACGAAGTCGAGGACGAACACGTTATTCTTCAGTACGGCCTTGCCGATGTAAAGACCTCCTCTCCCGTGGTACAGCTTGAACCCCTGTGTTGTGCTGTCTGCTTCGAGGTGAATGCCTTTCGCCATCAACTGGCTGACGCTCAGTAAGTTGTAGCCGAGTCCCTCCGCGATTAAGACCTTTGATATCTGCAGTATAACATTTGTCTCCCTTGACTGAAGTTGGACCACGCCTTGTCGTCGTGTGCGCAGGTTCTGATTGTTGGCGACGGTGATGACGACTTCGCGTTGAAGTTGGTGTTCGCGTTGAACGAAGCGACCCGAAGAACACATATGTTGCCCGCAGCAACTGTCCAAGAACCAGGTGTCTTTCCCGGATGGCTCACTCTGGGCGATAGCTGCGTATGTCGGGTTCGGCTCCAGTGTCTCACGGCGTGGAGTCCTTTCGTCAAGTTGTTCTTCTGGTGAGTAGTGTGGCGGCGATTCAGTGATGCAGGAATCCGAGAGTCTTGCCATGCAGCTGACGATGTTCCTTGCTCCTTGTGCAGGTTGTCCCGTTGGTGTCGTTTGAACTTGAGCGCTGGGGTTCGCTTGTGTTGAAGTGACTTCGCTGCTTGAAGGTCGAAGCTGTCGTTGTGGCGGTGTTGATTGTTCCCGATTCGGGCAG